TTATTATTTTGTTTTTCGAGACGTGTCTTAGAGCTAGACGCGACTGAGTTGCTATTTTGATCATTTTTTTCTTTGAGAAGTCTTTTTTTATTTTCCAATGTGACTTGTTCATCCCAACTGATACTATCTAAGGAGTCATCTTGCATAGAGACAGTTAAATCATCATGGGTAATTTCTGTTGCCATAGTACTCTTCTCAAGAAAGAAGTTAGTTTCCGTTTTTGTTAGTTGTTTTTTAGACGAAAAGATTGTTGTCAGTTTAGTTTTCTTGTTTCTGTAGACTTCGAAGATAAAAGTCTTACGCTTTCTAGGAACAAGGGGAAGAGCCCCTGTTCTGCTACTGTTTTTAAAGTTAGTAAGGCCCTGAGTAGAGATTATTTTGTCTTTTCAAAATTACCCTCTTTCCTAAACGTAGTGGTCAGAAGAGAGAGATCGTCGATCTTTTTTCAATAATGATTTTCAAAACTCATTAATTCTAAAAATTAATAATCATTAAAAAAAATATTTCTTCCAATCACTTAGTTTCTTTATCTGTATTATTATAACAAGAGATTAAATTCATTATAACTTTTATATATTCAAGAAAATACATATGACTTGTTTTGTATCTTTTATCCAGATTATAATTGCAATAAATTTATTAATAAATAGTTAAATTATATGAATCAATAAGGTCCATTTTCAACTTTTTTTATTTAAAATCCAAACTTTACAAAATTTTCATTATATTATTAATGTACTATGCTTTATATAGCACCAAATTTAAGTAAATTTGTATATCATCTTTTGTCAATTCCACTTAACTCTACAACTTCTAAACAGGTATGATCTTTATTAGATAATATATATACAAAATAATGCAATAGATTATCACTATCACGATTAGTAAAAATGACACAAGTATCTTGGTATATAAAACAAAAATCTATTCCAATCAAAAAAAAGCTTCAAATTTCTGAAAAACAAGGATTTAATAAAATGAAAAAAAATATTTTAGATAATGATGATGATAATGATGAAAATGATGACTAATTTAAATCAAATATCTGACAATTTAATAAACGATATTCATATGTTTGATATAAATAATAAAGAAAAAATCCCAATACTTACAAATATTTTTAATTCAAAAAGTGTTGAAAAATCACTAAATTTTTATGTTCAACAATCATATGTATAGAATTATTTTAGGTTCAAATTTTATAATTATAAATTCGCTTTGGCTATATTAATAAAATATAGGTATTGTGTCATTGATAAATTCATAAAATCCTGCAAATTTATATTTTATTTTATATTAAGAATTAAGATCGTTTTTGATAAATTCGCTTTATCAAAAAAAATTGTAAAATAAAATTTACCAGTCTATGATTTTAGACATCTTAATAAAATGGAATTTAGCCCACAAATATTTGAGCAATTTTGTGAAAAAATATTGCACGAAAGTACATACATGGTATAAATTAGCTGCGTCGCATATTAACCCGTACAAATTTGCTGCGCCATATATTATTAATTAATTTTTAGTTAATAATTCGACCAAATAGTTAATAATAATTATTAATTATTAATAATTAAGGAGGTCCCATCACTACATATATTACATGACTAAAGCAAAAAAATTAAGACACAAAGATTTGAAACATGAAAAAAATTTTGCGTTACATGGATTTCAAAAATTCAGTCAATCAGTCAGTCAGAATTTTTTTACAAACTCTTTATAATCACACTCTTGTTTCAAGAATTTAGTGCTTATATAAAGGTTAATTTTATATGCATATATGAGTTGGTTTTAAAAGTTTGTAATTATAAGCAAATAAGAATACAAAGGAAGCGATTATAAAGAGGTTTAACTGTAATTCTAAATAATAAATGATAACTCTAAAACACTCGAAATAAGACAATTAACCATGATTAAGATGAACAGAACAATAGAATAAAGCAATAGAATTTAGAATGGAATAAAATTTTTGTCAATAGAACAAGAAATTGGCAACATAATTATAATTGGATATTAATATAGCGCAATAGAAATTAGAATAGTATATAAATTTTATTAATAGAACAAGAAATTGACAACAATTATTAAATCGGCTAGCAATTTTGACGATGTATTTGGGCCATTAATACATGTCACTCTGGTTATATCGACATTTTATATAATATGTCGGTATAACTCACTGTATCAACATTTTGAAAATTTTTGAGTTACGTATATATAATGTTTTTAAATCCATAATAAATAAACACGCCCAATTTTTAAGTAAACAAACTATGTCACGTGAGACTCGAACAAAAAATTTATTTATTAAGTTTTAAAGATATTGTGCTTTATTCGAGATGATGAAGGAAACACCACTTCAAGAACTTGCCAAAGATCTGAAATTCTTGGTCAATAATCGATTTTACAGTGATTTGGAGATTGTTTGTAAAGATGGTGTAATCCTTGTTGGTTCTAGAGCGATATTAGCAGCTCGATCTAAGGTTCTCGATGGAATGCTTTACAACGGAATGAAAGAAACGCATGAAAAGCGTGTAAAATTTCCTAATTTCGACTCTAAAATTTTTTTGTTAGTGTTAGAATTCATATATACATCATCTATTACGAATGATTCCTTGACAATTGAGGATGCAATGGAGATTTATCGTGCTGCCGATTTCCTTCAACTGTCGGCTCTACAACATATTATGATTAAGTTCATCAAATGTTACGTTAACAAAAACAAACCTGTAACCCCAAATTTATTAACCAATGCTGTTCGTTCCTCTGATACTTTAGCATATGGTGTTCTCATCAATATTTTAGTTGAGAGTATCGCAAAAGTTCCTCTGGATTCAATTGCCTTTGAAAGTTTATCAATTCATGCATTATACTGTTTACTCTCAGCTAGATATGACAGAAAAATTCAATTTTTAACACAAGAATATCATGTATTACGTTATATAATACTTCACACCGCAAATTTAATCTCCAAAGAAGCTCATGAAGTTTTCGAGTCAAAACTACTTGGATTAGAAAACCTTAAAAAACCTGTGTCTAAATCCAGAAACTGCGTTGAAACCAGTGAACTAGATAAATTTAGTCCGATTATTAGAAGGAACATAAATCCATTGCTTAGATTTATAAATTGGGATCTTATAGACAATAAGATTCTTAGAGAAATCATTCAACCATTAGAAATCGTACCCGATGAAGTATTGAGAGACGCATACTCTTCCACTTCAAATAAAAGATTGATGTTTAAAGATATGCATGGGATAACATCAAACCCTTTTAAATTTGATAGTGCAGCTAGTGGAAAACAACTTATCTTTAATGATGATTATTCAGAAGTTTCAGCTGTAGTAATCAAACCTGAAATGATGATATATCAAAGTGCGAGAAGTCAATATGTTATCTCTAGTGGTGGAGAACATGAATGGGATGTCATAATAGAAGAAATTGGGGATGCTTCAAATTGTTACATTGGAATTTGTGATGAAGATTGTGATTTCAACACTTTCGTGGGAAATTCAGTAAATGCTTGGGTACTTAACCGTCAAGGAATTTGTTGGAATAATGGAATTTTTCGCCGGTATGGAAGTGAATTTGACGTTGGAGACACAATAACGGTGCATCTTGATATGGACCAACGAACTTGCGCCTTCTCAGTTAACGGCAAAAGACATCCACCAGTAAATTGGATTAATATTCCATCGAAACTTTATCCGATGGTCTCATTCAGGAACTCTGGACGTTTGCGAATTCAATCTCACTTGAGTTAATTCATAGTAATTAGAGATCTAGTGAAGGTAGTATACAATGCCTTTTTTTTTGAAAAAATTTAATTGTTAAAAGTTATTTTAAAAAAAATCACACTTGTTTTGTCGTACGATACAAGATAGAAGGATAAGCATAATGGTACATTAGTATTATGTTTTATATTATATGAAGTTTGTCAGTTTCTCAGAATATCATTATGACAAATAAAGAAGAAATAAAATTTCCTTACTAAAATCAATTATTGGCACCGTTCAACTGCCCTTTTCAGTCAAAGAACATGTCACACCTGTTGATATATAAGCAGTGATTATTTTACATTGTGTGGACTGTGCACCTTTTAAATAGATGTGCGAATATCACACGGAAAAAAATGAACATTTTGTAAATAGTGCGCACAGTTGCAAACAGTTGCTTAGCCAAAGATGGAAAACAAATGAGACAAACAATTCAGATAACAAAAGAATTTTTTAAACTTAATAACATTCAAATAAATAGAAAAAAATTCAAACTAATGATTATAAATATTAAAAAAAAGTGGTTACTACATAAAGGTAGTCCAACATCTGGGGTACATTTAAAGGTACCAAGTCAGGTAACAGTTACACCCATATAGAAGTCTATAACAAAGAAGTTTATAATCTACCAATCTCTAGAATCTATAAGATTCATAATAGTACAACATTATTGAAATTAATGTAACTTCTTTAAGTATATTCAAAATTATCTTGAATTAAGTAGATAATATGTTGGAAACATGTATTATATAGTAGTATAATATTATTAAGGGTAGAAGGCATGTAGATCATTTTTATATAGTTATGTATGGTATATTTAAAATTTTCATCTAAAATTAATATATATTAATAATAAAATTTTTTTATTTTTTAATTAATTAATAAAAAAATTTTATAATATTATAAGAGAAGTATCAAAAATCAGATAATTTTCTAGAGAGGAGGTAAAAAAAGTTGAAAATTATATATAAAGAATCTGATTATTTATATATTAAGAAAAGAAAGAAGAGGTAGGTCTCTAATAAAAAATAATTAGATGATTAATGACATAATTTTAAATAAAATTATTTATTGGATTAGGGTCTTATAGTCTAATAGTCTAAGCATCCTGTTTACAAACAAGATCAATGGTTCAATTTTAGCTAAAGACAAAAACTCTGTAATCTAGAAAAACATATAAATGTACACAAAACTCTATAGTTAAATCTATATGAATAAAAGATCAGTATATAAAAAAGTTTCTAAAAAGAAGTTTTTCAATATAAAGAGTTAGTGCTCAATGTGTAAGAAGTAATGAACATATCAGAAATAGAAAGAAGATGCACTAGTAAATGATATAGTAAACATAGAAGAAAACTAGAAAAAAGAAATAAACTTATCAAAATTTAAACATTTCTAATACCAAATTGGTTTTAGTAAATACAAAATCTACTAAAATTAAATAAAATCTAAGAAATAATCTTAGTATCATATTTAGTAAATTTGTGTCAAAAATAAATTCAAAGGACTATAGATATTTAATAACATTCAATAAGATAGTACTTTAATATAAATAATAATTAAATAGTTCTAATCTGTTCTGTCATAATAATAATACGTAATATAGAGTATTGCATATATATACAATAAGTATTAAAAATCAGAAAGTTTAAATAGAGAACTCAGAAATGAGTCTCAGATATGGTATCTAATAAATAACCTATAGGCAGAACCTTTAATTAGATAATAACTAAAGTTATATGTAAAATTAGTTGTACTTTTGTTAATAGACTTTATATTTTTTTATTTTTTTTATTTTTTAAGTTAAAGTTCTTGTTTTTAGAGATTGATGTTTTTATTTACATATTTGAACACAAGTAGCTTTAAGAACTTCTTTATATTAGAAGTTACAACTAGCTACATATACATTTTTGGTATCTAATTTAAATAATTCATCTATATATTACTATATAAGTTTTTTATACTAGATACTATACCTATAAGCTAGCTATAGATCTTGCCTACTTAAACCTTTTGCATATGTAATAAAAACTTATTAGAACTTTCTGTATTCTACACACAACTGATCTAGTTTTATGTAATTTATTATAGTTGTCTAATATTTGCAGTTACAGAGATTACCTATTTAACTGCTATATTACACTATTTTTATTCTTGTAAAGTTTACTAGAACCCAGTACCTATCATTATGACATCTTTTTTATTATCTCCTACTAACTGCTACTCAAAACCAGCTCAGTATATTATATATATATATTCTTTTTCTTTAACAATTCTAGCAACCTAATTGGTTATATGCTTCTTTACACATTTTATTATTTGGTTTATTCATCTATTTCTTTAGGCATGTTTTATGAACTTTCATTGATCTAATCATATTATTAAAAATTCATATTACTTTTTTATTTAGAAATTTTCAATTAAGTTTTTAACTCTTTAGTTTTTTAGTTTACTGTACCTAGTAGTTTTATTATAAGTTTGCACTAAAGTCTTATATGATACTAGTTATTAATATTTCTATATATATATATATTATTACATTTTGCATAAATGCCCAAGCTTCTATTCAAGATGCTACAACTTAAGGTTACAGATATACTAATTTAACTGATTATTAAAAAACAGTTTGTTATAATATAAGTATAATTTTTTAAATTTTTCATAGGTAAAATTTGAACACTAGATCTGTTATTTGAGAAATAACAACCTGACTACTATATTATAGTTATCATTTTTTTAATAACTTTGTATATAAGATATATAATATATATGTTACAAGCAAGATTATTCTTGAAACTAAAAAATAAAATTATAATTTTTTAAATTTTATCATAGGTGGAATTGAAACACTAGATCTGTTATTTGAGAAATAATAATCTGACTATTATACTATACTCATCATTCTTTTAATAAACTTTGTATATAAGATATATAATATATATGTTACAAGCAAGATTATTCTTGAAACTAAAAAATAAAATTATTTATCTATTATAGTAAAATTTTAATGTATTATATTATTTTAAAAAAATATATTTGTATATATAATAAAGTTTATTTAGATGAATTAAAATTTTCTTAGATAGTACAAAAATGAAAAATTTGATTAATTAATTTATATAAATTTATTAGTTAATTTTATTTTATAATTTTATATCTTAATCTTTAAAAATTTATAGCTTAATAAGTTTTTAACTTATTTTAATAATTTTACTATTATTAAAATTAGAAAAATCTACTTTACAATTTTTATTTAATAATTAAAGTTGTTTACTTAATATAATTTTTTATAAAATTAAATATAAAAAAAATTTACTATTAGGATTATATATAATTTTAAAATACTGCTTTCTACTCTTAAGATTGATATAATTCTCTGAATATAACTAGAATTATTTTGAGTATATATAAAATAAGTTCTAAATAACATTATAACAGATAGTACTAAAAAAGATAAAAATGTTATTTTGTACTTATATAATTATTTTGTTATTGTTTTTTTTTTTTTTAAACTTAAGCAGTCATGCTAGTACTTTATTAAGATTTTTAAAATTACTTCTGCAATTATATAGATTTAGCTAACAATTAAGTCTAGCATTACTCGGCCACCCACAGGATACCTAAGTGCAACCTGCTGCACTACTTCAAACAGAAGTAGACTACTTGTCTAACTACTTAAAGTCTATAGTAAAAGGGTCTTCTTCCTTTCATAACAAGCCCCATTATTGTTTTTCTAGTTTCTTCATTAATTCTATCCTTTTTCTCTTTTGCTTGTTTCTTTTCTTTTTCAATCTTCTGCTAATTTGCCTTTTCTTTCTTCTTTAGATTCTTCTTTTTTATTTTCTTTTTCTTTATTTTGGTTGTTATGCCTTCTTTCTTCTCCCATTTATTGACTTTTTTATATTGTATTCTCCAAACTTATTCATAAAATGTGTTCTATGTTGTTTTTGCTACTGTCTCAATAAACTGCTGTCTTGCTTTTGTATTTAGAAGCTATATTAGTCTGTCTTGTGTCTTTTTCAGAATTAAGCTTTTAATTAGAGCTTCTCTTATCTCTATTTTTTTTACTTTACTTTTTCCAAAAAGTGCTATATATAGTATATATAATAGAATGCAAGTTTTTTCTTCTTCTTTCAATCCTTTTCAGACTATTGTGATAGTCACTTTTTGGATTTATTTCTAAAGACTCTGTTGTTCTTTGCATAATGCTAGATGTGACTGTGTTTCTTTAACTTTATCTTAACAAACTTGGCATTCTGTTATTGTGTATACATCTGGCTTTCTTCTATTAAGTTCTTCTAGAGTTGAAAGTTTATTTATCATATACTTTATAAATACACATCTTCTTGTACTACTTCTTCTTGTTATGCAATGCACTCCTTTGATCATTTTTAGTCTTTGCCAAAATTGTATCCAATCATAAATTATAATTCTGTTTTTAGTTCTAACTTTCTGATTGTATTTGTTTCTTTTCATTCTGCTTCTAATCTTGTGTTTGTTACCAATTTGCATAACAATCTTGCTGATATGTTAGTTCATTTGTTTTCTCACTTTAGGCAGTACTCTATCTCTTTACAACAGATTTTCTCTATTTGTATTATTTTCTTACTTATTGTTCCCTTCTTTGCAAGGCTATCAGCTTTGTTATTTTATTTGTTCTTGCTATGACTTTTAACTTTTACTAACTTTATCTGTATACTTTTTGTGTTAATAAGATCTATAATCTTTATTATTCATATTGCATTTTTCTTCTTCAGAATTTTTGTTCTATCTCTTTGCTCTAAACCTCTACTAATATTTCTTATTGCAGTGTTACTGTTTGTATATATTTCTACTTGTCTTTCTTTTGGTATTGTTAGGATTGCTGCCCATATTGCTACTAATTCTGCTATTGTTGATGTCATCTATCCTTCTAGTTCTAATGATGTTTCTTCTTCTGGCTACTCTTGCATTTCATTTATTTGAATCCATTCTATACCTATGCTTCT